GGGCAGACAGAGCTGCCAATGGCTCTGGCACCCCATGGGGAGCAGCAGATCCTGAGCCTCCGGAGGGAGCAGGGCAGGGGAGTCCCACAGGAATGTAAATTACAGGGAACGTCCCAGAACATTTCCATGCCCTGACACCAGAGAATCCATCCCTATCCCTTTCCCAAGCTTAATCCTCTTCCACCCCATCCCTGGGTGCTGAGCACAGCTCCTGGAGCAGTGCTGGAACTCACCCCAGCCCAGTTCTGAGGGGCAGGGGCTCAGCCTGGCTTCAAAACACTTGTCACACTGCCTTTTCCTCCACCCCCCCAGGGGGTGAGCTGGGATCATCCATGCCCACAGGCTTTCTGCAAAGGGAATTTCAGTTTCAGGAAGAGACACTCCTGGGATCAGGACCTGGGGACAACATGTCATCTCCAGACTGAGCAGAGGGATGAGTGACTCAGGAAGGTTTGAGTTCTGCCCTCAAGCCCCAGGAAAGCTTTGCTGCCCTGCTGGGCACAGCTGGACCCATCAGACTCCCATGAAACAACAAAGTCAGATGCTGGGACAGGAGAGCCAGGGTGAAGTATTAGGAGAAGGTGGGTGCATGTGGATGGCATCAGGTGGTGCCACCCTTTGGCTCCATCATCTCTGGCCACCAGCCAGGGAGAGCACCCAGTCTGCATTTCCCAACTCCACAAGCACATCCCAAACCACATCCCACTGTGTGCTGTGGCCAGACAGACACTCACCTTTCCACCTTGTTTCCCACTTCTTGATCCCTTCTTTTGCCACCTGCCTCCTTCCAAATAAACCTGCTTATAATTACCTTTTCCCCACTGGTCCTCATTTTGCTACATCCACCCCCAAATCATAGAATCCAGAATGGTTTGGGTTGGAAGGTACCTTAATGCCCATCCAGCCCACCCCCCTGCCATGGGCAGGGTCACCTTCCACTGGACCAGGTTGCTCCAAGCCCTAGCTGAGGAGTGAAGCTAAAAATGTCAGTCCTCTTCAGCTAGGGTGGAAGCAGCTTCTTTCCATTTTATCCAAGTCCTGTGAGGAGCCAAAAAGGATCCTGGTGGCACTAGAGGGGAGCCAGGGGGATGCACCTAAAGCTGCACTGGAGCAATCCTGAGAGTTAGGGGTGAGCAGGGGGCTCTGGAGTGCACTGAGGGAAAATGGAAAGCACTGGGACATACTGGAGGGAAAATGGGGGGTCCTGATGTCACCAGTTGATAAATGGGAGGGGATTGATTTCACTGCAGGGCTGAGGACTCTGGGGAGATCCAAAAGCTGAAGGAGGAGCTGCACTGTGCAGCCAAGAGGAGAGAGTGGTCCCAAGGGAGCAATTGGGGTTCTGGGGGAGGGGACAAGACAGCAAACAGGAATGTGGGGGACACTGGAAGGCAAACAGGGTGTCCGGGGGGAGAGCAGAGGGTGAGTAGAGGCAACTGAAAGTGTGCACGGGGTGAGTGGACTTGCTGAGGTACACGAAATGAGGGAGAGATGGTCCCAGAGGCAACAGGGACCAAACTGGAGGCTCTGGGATGTATAGATGGGAAGGGAGGACCCCAGGGCACACACCAGCATCCTCCCAGCTCCTCTCTGAGTGCCTCAGTCTGGGCTGGGCTCAGCTGCCCTCAAACCAGCTCCACTTTTCTCCAGGCACCCTCAGATCTCCCAAACCAAGCTCTCCAATTCCCTCACATTCCACTCCCCACTCCCTCCTCTGTCACGATGGACATCACATCCACCAGCTCCTTAGAAACGTTCATGGTCACAGGGACTTTGAACAGCAATTCCTGTCCTTCTCCAAAGCAACGGAGAGAGCACAGCAGCACACTGCACTGGCAGCCCCGAGGCCACATTTGGATGGGACACATGGAGTTTTCTGGTGTCGTGTGCCATCGTG